AGGCGCTGGGTCCTTCCTTGCGCTGTCTGATGGGTAACTGCCCAGCCCAGGGACTGCCTTTGCCTTTTGTGAAAAAATCTTTACAGCAGGTGAGAACTTAGCTGGAACCAGGTGGGGGCACCAAGGGACTGTTGGCTGGGGGACATGTCCTAGTCTTCATCCTGGGGCCGTCTGCCATCAACTCCATGATTGTATCTGCAAAGAAAGGGACAACACAGAGTGAGTGCCCATGGCATGCTGTTTTGTTTTGTTTTGTTTTGTTTTGAGGAAAACAGTAACTATTTCTTTTGGGTGTAAGGGGAGAAAACGTTAGATGAAAAGCAAAGCTGGAAGTCATCACGTTGCCATTAATACAGCAGTGCTGAGCATTACTGCCCAAGCCTGCAGTCCCATCGGGTTCGGGAAGGAGTCAGGGCCACCACTGTGAAGAGTCAGCAGCCTGCAGACCTGCACCGGGGATTCAGGGGTGGCATTTGTGTTCCCATCATCTCAGGAATCATTGAATTCTCCAGCAGTTCTGCTGCTCGCAGGAATAGCAGGGGGGACAAACAGCCTGCCACAGTTATGCTTCTTGTGGGCAAACCATGTGTATCTCTGCCCTCCCACTGCCCTGAGAAGTCCCCTCTGGCAGCAGTGCCAGACCACTGGCATTCACCTCGGCATCCAGCCGTGGGTAGCACTGGCAGGGGCGGGCGAGCTTTCTGCATGGTACCACCAAAGGCTGTTCGAGGTCTGCCTCAGCGCTGACGTCTTTCCAGGGCTTTCTAAATTGCTGGTTCAGTTGGTTGGTCCTCCACCCATGTTGAGGTTTTCCTGCTCAGAGCCAACTCTTCCTTCATCCCCTGTGAGGATGTGGTGTGTCTATCAAACAGATCATGAAAACTGAGTTTCTGAGGTATTGGCTGGGAAGAGCTAGGGAATGGGAAACCTGATGAGGCCTCAGAATAGTTAAAATTACTTTTTGCCTCTCATGCTGAGATTTATCAGAAGTCTGCACACTTGCCAAGATTTGCTACCCTGATTCCTGTGCCCTTCTAAGGACACTAAGAAACAAAACTGCTTCCTCCTTCATCCTGTTTTCTGGAATAGCCTCTTCTTCCTTGGAATAGTCTCTTCTTCCTCTAAAGAAGCTCCACTAATGCCTGAACAAGTTACACAAAAATGTAGAGGCATTAATCTGTGTGTCCCGTTTCGCACCTAAGCCTTTAGCTCGACCCGCTCCCTTATCTGCTTTAATTGCAACATCTCAGAACCTTTTTCCCCCCTTCAGATCAGCACCGGGGCAATATTTACTTCTGATTCATTCTAGTTTAGCTATTTAAATCTTTCCCCGTGTTTCACAGTTACCATTTAAGGATGGTATTTCCCCAGCGCTGGTGTTCGTCCCAGAATAGAATTTGATAATACAGAGAATATTTGCCAGCCCTTTATGACTGACCAGAGTGTCTAAAAAACTATATAAATCTCCCAGTAGCCTTTTTGCTGTTACTGGTTTCTGATAGCGGCTGTTTCTCTCTGGTAGACGTTGTTTATCTCTCCTCTGTGACAGGCCAGGCTCTCCCGGCTCCATCATA